GTCAAAATATGTAGTCTTTTCATTCTTGACATATCAAAAAAAAGCTTTGATAAAGATTTTGAATCCCTCCAGAGTGAAGAGGAAAATATTAGTCCTCCCCACCCCCTCCCCTTTCATTTTCCCCCTACCCCTAGAGCTGCTAAGGAATGACTTAATGACTTTTATTTTTGCACATTGTGAAATGTAACTAATAACTACTTTTTCCTGTATAACAGATGCAGTTTTAATGGGATACACAGCAGAACAGTTCAACCTTTTACGACTGTGTCACATCATTTTCGATATTGTCCCGGAAGGTCTGCGAACAATTTTTAAACAAGAATGGGACAAAATTACGCATCGTGCATGGAAGGACACATATTATGACTTCAAGCTTTTCCTCGAAATGGAGTCACCATACAAACGCAAAAAATATTCAAATCGTCTAAAGGTGATGTCAAGTGGAGACAGAAAGGATTGGGACTCCTCGTGTTTGATATATGCAATATTGTACTCGGACACTATGAGGGAGAAAATAAGTCTTGTAGCGATGGACAATGTAGTTATTCTGCGTGACATCCTTAATGAAATGAAGCACAAACATACTAAGCTGAATGACAGGGAATTTCACATGCTAGTAGACCTTGAGAATGCAACCAGAAATGAGATTCCTATCGAGATCGCTTTACGTGGACCCAAAGCTATAGGAGCTTTTGAGAAAGCACTCTTAAATGGTAATGTAAAACTTAGACGGCTATTGGTTATGCTCATTGGACAGTCTGGCGCTGGGAAAACAAGTTTACTGAAGTCTTTTAGAGGTAAAAGAAATTTATTGTGGCCAATGATTTGTTATAGGTTGCACGCAATGTCTGTAAAATATCATCAAAATTTTAAGTGACTATATAGTCTATAATTATTTAGGCATTATTAGTCACTATCACAGCAACCAAAACAAATGAAATTAGAGACTTCAAAAACACAGGAGACAGCGTGAAAAATAGCTTTAATTCATTTATTACCTCATTCTTTATTGAAAAAAAGTTAATTCAATACCTTTAGAGCGAATATTCATTAACTAGACGCCCCTGGGACGTGAAGTCGGACTAGCTATTTTTGCTGCGAACGAAGTGAGCAGCGACACTAATCTCGCAGGCCTCTTGGGGTCCCTGTGCCATACCAATCGCCCGACGAGGAAAACAAATCAAAACAATCGCCCGACGAGGCAAACAAATCAAATCAATCGCCCGAAAATAAATAAAAAATTAAAAAAATACAGTCTGTAATAAAGTGTACATATACGTTCTAATCTTGTTTCTTTTTGCCATGTATTCTCCCTCCATAAAATCAAATAAACCTAAAACCAATTTGAACAAGCATCACAGAATTTACATATCGCAGCACTTCACTTTAGATAGGAACCGCTAGTTGAAAATTGATAGACACGAGTGAAAAGATTATGATGTTATATTTTGTCTAATCATATGATATCAAGAATGTAAATGAAACTTGAGAAAGACAGCAGGATATTACATAAAAGATAAAAATTAGATTAAAATGTATATTTCTTAATTTTTCTCCAAAATAGCCGAACTCACGGTCTAATAAGACCGTCTAGTTCAAGATATCCAAACTCTCTTGAGACTAAAATAAACTTGACCTTAAAGGTCATGTAATTGATACCAGCAGCAATGAACGTTTAAAGTAGTTCTTGCTTTCACTGATAAAATCAAACKTTGGTATGTAGATTATGTGATGCTAAGTGAACGTTGATGTCTCGCTAAGTGATATCATGATGACCTCTCAGGCAAAGAAAATAAAAACTTTACAAGCCTATAAAATCATTAAATTCGCCTTTCTATTTTTGATAAACAAAGTTTCTTCTTGTTCTAATTTGAAATCTTTGCCCCCACAAGACTCCTAACACTAGACAGCTGAGACAGGATATTGATTCAGTCTTGTAAGCATACAACTCGAAACTCTATGCGATCTGCACATGCGCGTACTTCTAATGCCTAGACAGATGCATTCCGATGAGATCACAGATACCACATTTGTAAACGAATAGTTTTTTAGTCGGACTAGCCGAAGGCGGTCCGACTTTAAATTTACCTTTTAGCCTATCAATCTATCTATCTATCTATCTATGTGTCATGTCGCGTTTGGACCACCGGAAGTTAAGAATTTAATAATTAACTATTGGGTTGGCTGTGTAATTACATGACCGGAAGCTCAAGCGTATTGATGTACGAATATCGTTAGTAAATGTTATATGCTACTTGGCTTTTATATGACAAAAAACTATTCGTTTACAAATGTGGTATCTGTGATCTCATCGGAATGCATCTGTCTAGGCATTAGAAGTACGCGCATGTGCAGATCGCATAGAGTTTCGAGCTGTATGCTTACAAAACTGAATCAATATCCTTTCTAGTGTTAGACAGTCTTGTGGGGGCAAAGATTTCAAATTAGAACAAGAAGAAACTTTGATTATCAACAACAGAAAGGCGAATTTAATGATTTTATAGGCATCTTTTTCCTTGTAAAGTTTTTATTTTCTTTGCCTGAGAGGTCAACGTTTTAGATATCATATATCACTTAGCGAGACATTTGTCTGAGCTAGTTGATTTTATCAGTCAAAGCAAGCCACGTTCTTATCGCGTTAATTACATTGACCTTTTAGGTCAAGTTTATTTAAAGTCTCAATAAATTTTGCATATTTTGAACTAGACGCTCTTATTAGACCGTGAGTTCGGCTGTTTTGTAAAAAAAAGTTAAGAAATATTTTTATCCATGTAATATCCTGTCTTTCTCAATTTTTCACAAGCAGCTAGTCCGACTTCACGCTCCCAGAGCGTCTAGTTTGTCATATAAAAGCCAAGTAGCATATAACATTTACTAACGRYATWSGTACATCAATACGCTTGAGCTTCCGGTCATGTAATAACACAGCCAACCCAATAGTTAATCATTAAATTCTTAACTTCCGGTGGTCCAAACGCGACATAATACATAGATTGGCTAAAAGGTAATTTTAAAGTCGGACCCGCCTTCGGCTAGTCCGACTAATTAGTATATACATATTGAAAACAATATCATACTACAATCGTTGACACTATGATTGGACCATTCCAGAGAATTTCCTAATTTTAAGCAACACCCGCAGACAATTTCATCCCCCCTGACCCCCTAAATGCAATGTTGTCATTGATCATGTTACCATAATACACAAGCATCAAAAACAAGACCCAACATTGCTGAAAGGGGGCTAAGGGGGAAAACTGTGAAAAAATAAAGCAGAAAAAGTGTTAGGCTGGAGACAAATAATTGTACGGTCCAAGGTATTTTGGCAACGATTGTATCAGGAGGTTACCGCAAAAAGGGCAAAAATTTGAAAGAACTTTCTTCTATTTACTTCGCACAGGAGGAGCACGTGTTGGACATCTGTTTGATTCGGAAAAAGTCTGCTAAACGCTAAGACATATGTTTGGTAGTAGTGGTAGATAAACTAGGTGAAAATAATTTATTTCCTTGACCTTTTTAGCAGTGTACAGAATATTTCTAAGTAAGCCAGTTTCCGCTGGTAAAGACGTAGCTTTGTGACTTCTTCTGTTTGCAGTTCACTTCCGCAGTTTCGAACAAGCGCTTACCTACTCGTTTCTTTGTATTCTTTGTTGTTGTTCTTGTTTTTCGCCCTAAAATGAGACTTTCAAAATAATCACCAAGCGTTTATTTCAAATTATTAAAAAAACGATCAATGTGATTTTACTGCGAAGAGGAAATTTCATCTATTTTTGGTACGAAAGTTTCTTGGGCATTGATGATATTGAAGAGAAGAGATAGAACTGTTGCTCGTTGTTTTTTAGCCGAATGGTTGTGAGGCCATTGTCAATTGGTGCACTTACTTACTTCTTATTTTCAACTTCAATTCATTTTCAGGGGAGAAGTTTGACCCCAACGTGGATAGTACTAAAGGTGTAGTCTTAAATCGGTGCTGTTGCAAGCTGTTGGACGAAGCTTGGACACCAGATAGCGCTATTAAAGACCAAATTTCCTTTGAAGCAAATATGTCGAAAAGTATTGCGAAGAAACATGTGGATCAAGCAAAAAAAACCATTCAAACTTACAAAAGGTCAAAGGTGAAGTCAGACATCAAGAGAAAAGAAATGTATTCCTTACGGGAGACAAGTGGAAGTGAGAAAAAAAGATATGCTGTCGAGAACCCAGTAGATCATCACCCAAGAAACCTAAATGTTTCTTCGCAAAGTGCAGAGAACAGCGAAATTTCCTTAAGCTTGAATAGTGCTTCCCAAAATGCAGAGAACGATGAAGTTCCCTTAAGCTTCGATAGTGCTGAAACCAAAGATGAGTTATTTAAACGAGCCAACGATACTCTCACAAATCCTAAAGAAGCAAACACTGATGATATAATTTGCACAGTATTAGATATTGGCGGTCAGCCTGTTTATGATGTGATTCATCCATTGTTCCTTTCAAGAAAAGGTGTTTTCATCCTTACTCATAGTTTGGAGAATGATACAAATGAAGAATCTAAAGTACTTGTAAGGAATGGAACTGCCAAAAGAAAGCTAGATAACAATTGTTATATGACAAATATGGATCAACTGTGGGTCTGGCTGTCATTTGTTGGATCACTGAATGCGATCACCAATAAACGTGTACCTGTGCGTCCTCGTGTATCTTCAAATTATCGATTAATGCCAAATAAGCTACCACCTGTGTTCTTGGCGTGCACGCACAAAGACGAAGCATTGAAGAAAAGACGAGATCCCGAAGAAATGGCAAGACAAATTTTAAAGTACTTGGAAGGACACCCATCTCGGGAACATCTAGTTTCTGGATTTTACCTCATCGACAACACCGTGTCGGGTTCTTCTGAAGATAAAGAAGTTATAAAGTTAAGGAAAGACGTTTGCAGCGTCGCCAAAAGTCTTCCACACATGAATGGAGGGGAATGCATCATCCCTACAAGGTGGCTTGCCTTTGAAAAGGAACTTAAATCACTTGTTCAGAAAAAAAAGAGATATTTGCCCTTAGAGGAAGCAAAACGGATTGCATCAAAATGCAAAGTCGTTGTTGACGTCGAAAATTCAGATGAGTTCATTACTCTCGTAAGCTATCTGCATGATATAAGAGAGATCATCTACTTTGAAGGTACAAACACTGTCTTCACTGATGTCGAATGGTTAATCAACATGATAAGAAAAGTAATTACTGTTGAGCCAATTGAAAACTGGCCAAGTGAACCATCCTTACGAGCTTCCTGGAAGAAACTTGAGTACGATGGCATTCTGGATGAGCAACTTCTGAACCATGTTTGGAGTGAAGTAACAGTTGAGAAGGAGGTTACCACTGACGATCTCTTGACGATCATGGAGATATTCTCGCTTGTATACCGCTGGAAGATTGAAGACAAACGATACGTTTTCCTTGTCCCTGCCATGCTGACGAACGCCAGTTCCCAAGACATCTCTGATCTCCTCAAAGACCAGATGCCACCCCTTATCGTGCACTTTCAGAGTTCTCATCTTCCTCTTGGTATCTTTCCAAGAATACAAGTTAAGTTTGCAGAATTCTGTAATCGCAAGTGGCCACAAGCACGCCAACCGAAATTCTACCACAACTTTTGTAGGTAGGTGTTTTGCCCTTACAGCTTCAGCTCTGTGCTAATTCTCTCTTTTTTAATGTTCTTTCATTCTCTCTGTCTACCTACCTCTCTCTTGCATGTCTTACCGTTTCTATGTACTATTTGTTCTATTTTCTAGCAAAACCTGGTCATTCCTCATCCTACAGTTAGTTTTTTGTACTATGACTAGTACTTGTTTTGATTGGTTCTTTCGCTGTTGCTACTTTTGATTCTCATTTTACCATACAAACTCTTAAATTTGTACAACCTTCTTCTTTGCAATGTTCGTTAATATACAATAGTGGCTAATAGATGCTTTACAACTCCAAAAAGGTTTTATAGAGTTGGCAAGGATGCAAGCTTTGATTTAGTCCTTACTTCTGATATCCGAGCTGTTTACATTGGCACTATCCATGCCAAAGAAGCCGAAACAACGGACAACCAAAAACTCGGAGAATTTTGCCAAGAGATCTTGGAATTCTTGAAAACCACACTGGTTGTCCAAAACTTCCCTTGGATTGAAAGGATGGATTATACGCTTTGTATTCGCTGTTCCATTTGCCAGCCAAGCTGCAAGAATCCTCATTTTCCGGGATGTGCAAGAGATGAATGTGTACATTTAATCTCAGAGAGAGAAATTCTTAATACTAAAGAGGAGGATCTTTTCTGCTTGAGAAATCCATTCATGAGCGATGTTAGCATTCCGTATGACCATTACTTTCACTGGTTTCCGAAGCCAAGAAAGGTAAGACAACTATTCAAAATTTATGAGTTCAGTTACAAAACTTTTCTGTGCGTTTCAATGAAACGGCGTCAGTCAGTCTTATGTCATTTATACTGTTTAGCAGATCCCTTTCAAACCGGTGCCAATGGACATATCTACAAGAACAGGTAACGTACATTTGTGTATATTATCTCTTATTAATTCAGCGACGGATTTGAGATGCGTGCGGAAAGTTGTCGACTTTCATGTCAAGCTATTGATTTGAAAAACATCGGTTATCTGTTATCAAGTTTGTTGCGGCTTGGCGTAAGGCATAAAACTAATGATTTTTCAGTGGTTCATGAAAAATCTATGCCTGCGAGCTTAGTGAAGAATAACGAGGAGTCTTGTTCCACTTCAGTTTGGCCTCAGGCGCGCTTGAATTTGTTTTGTTGTTGTTGTTGTTGTTTCATGTTATGGTGAGTCTGATTACAGCTATTCGTATTTACAGCCTTAAACATAAGCGAAGAGATGAAAAGATGGCTAGTTGTTGGTATCGCTATGATGAAAGTTTTGCTGCCCACCTTGCGACGTTTTATGCAGGAGAGGATAAGAACACACTACCATCGTCTGAAAGACAGAAACAACATCCACACCCAAACTCGGTATGAATATCTAGTCGAGGATGGCGTCTACGAGCTGAATTATGGAAACATCAACGGAAACAGCAGATGGAAGGATCAAGAAATACATTTTGAGTACAAGGTCAAATCTGAAGTTGACTTGGCGAAATTATATTGCTTGGATTTCATGGCTAAATTCTCTGGTTTGTTTGATTTTTAGTTCTGTTCGCACGATAAACTTAATTTAGGGAATAATGATGTTTTCAGCCTCTGTTCAAAATAATGTGTTTTTATTAGTATTTAAACAACGACATCATTCTTCTCGCAAATTGCTCAAATGGTTCATCTAGGGTAGCTTTGTCATTATTTACAAAACATTGATGGTCACAAACAGGGGCGGATCCAGGATTTTCCCCAGGGAGGAGTGCAGGGCTCTCAGGAAGGGCTGCACCCCACAAAAATCGATACCATGAAGATACAAAATAAGGAAAGTAATGAAGGATACAGATCTCAGGAGGGGGTGCTCACCCCCTGAACCCACCAGCTCGATCCGCCTCTGGCAAACACAAATACGAAATACACATATTCTTGCTTCTTCAAAAATGACTGAAAAAAATGTTTTTCCATACCATGGGATCTAGCAACAACCAATTAGTCAGCAATCTTTATATTTGATATGATAATGATTTGATATGATTTTAGGGCTGAGTTTTACATTTTAACTTTATCTTTATCTTTTTGTCAAAGGGTTTGATGAATCATGTGACCTATCAGCAGTTTTGAGAATATTAGGCATGTCAGGTGCCTTTTTAAAGAAGGTTCGACGTACTGCACATCGTTTGCGTGAAGACGTACGTAACGAATGGGGTCATTGTAACTTAACTGAATGGAATGAAGAGAAGTTTCAAGGCTGCTTTCAGGTGATGCATAGTATGGTTGAAACTCTTGAGCTAGCCGCCGATCAAGAGGAAGAGTTGTTGCATCAATTAGAAGAATTGGAAAATACAGGTTTGTGCTTTTATGCGATGCACAAGTTCGCGATACCATTTGTACCATAATAAGATATGTGCCATGTTATGCCTAAAAACTGTTCACAACGGCTAGAATTGTTTTCATTAACACGTTATATAGTTGTTTTATCTTTTGTACGTTAGTCCTTGTCATTTGGTGTATCACACATTATTACACTTTGACTATATTACACTTGGTTTCACGGGTTGAAGTTATTGTAAACGGCTAGCGGCTGAAGTGCACTTCATGGGTTCATGATCAATCTAGTTGCTGACTTAGTGGTGATAAAAGGTGAAGTGAAATTATAAACACATTATGTAAACAACATACAATAGTTAATACAGTTGTAATAGTAGTAGAAAGAGAGCACAACAATGCATTTTGCGACAACTACGGTTTATGAGTTTTTGGATTTTAGTCTTTGTAATACTCGGTTTCGTCACTTATTTAGTAGTAGTGACTTCTGTTTATTCAAATCTCTTTATTCAAAAATTTCTGTATTTTACTTTTTCAGGTGTTGAAAGGTTTTGCTTTGGTAGCCCAGTTGACGCAGCGCTGTTGAACCTTGCCCAAAATGATGTGACCTTGGTACAAAGAGAAGTGCAATATCTCAGACAAGCAGAACGCAAACAAATCGAAGAGTTCGATCGAATTTCCTGTGTTTTAGAAGGAGTTTTCAAAAATCTCGAAAATCTTGAGACGAGAATGACTAACCTAGAGCAACGAGTGATGGAACTAGAAATCAATTATAAGAAGTGAATTGTTATCGGTACATTATCGAACCACAGATTACGTAGTTTAATTGCCCTATTGGATAATTATGTCACACCAAAACATTCTATTGTTTTAACCCTAAGAATTATGGTTGCCAGAGGGGGTCAGAGTGACTGCCTATCAAATGAAGATGTAGATGAGCAATCATTGATAGATGATACACCTACTTGCAGAAACGTTGTCATAAAAAAGAACATTTGAATTTAGTAAAAAGGAATAAAATTAAAACAAGAAAAAAGAAAGCGTTCAGCCTCAGTTATCTTCTTTTGTCTTTTTAATTTACTCCTTTGTCATATTTTTTTATGGCAACGTTTTCGCAAGTAGGTGTATATATAAAAACTCGATACATTAAAGTTCTAGTTTCGGAAAGAAGGTCCAAATTTAGAGTCTTTATGAGCATCTATCCACAATGTAAACATACTGTGAGGTCATTATGGCATAGGGCAATTAGAAAAATTTAGTCAAGTTAATTTCTGTTCAGTACGTGATGGGTGGGGTATTCTGGGTATTTTTGTTGTGACATATTCACGTGTTTTAGACTACATCTCCCTGATATTTAGTTAATAAGTTAATAATAGATTTTGTAACAATTTTCATTGATTCTTCAGCAGTTTTATAGTTTGGTCAAGTTACTTGAACATTTTCTAATTATTCTGCAAATTCTATATTGATCTTAACCCCACAGCATAAAAATTGCTGGAAATTAAAACTACTGGTAATTCAAAACTATTTTTCCTGGTAATTTGAAACTACTGGTACATGACTTGGCATATTTCAATTTCTAGACCAAACTATAAAACTGCTGAAGAATCATATCCTTATTATCGTATTTTTATAAGTAATTACTTAATTAGTATAAGTTTATGACGCAGTGTAGAATTATTATCGTGATCAATATTTATAGAGTAAGCCAAGGTCGTCCTGAGCGGGGAATTCCCCTCAGTATGGAGTTATGCCATAATTGGTTATTGTTTTAGTTAGTATCAAATTATTATTTGGGTTTCGTCTAATTTTGTAAAACGTACATCAAGCAATGTAAGAATAATAGTAGTCCGTCCAGAGCGTCAAACAAGCATGTAGTAATAAAACAGAACACAACAGAAGCTAAGAGGTACGTTTTCACTGCCGCGACGGTCCCTTGTGGTCCAACACATAATTTCCGTTCTAGCCAATCGGAAGCAATAACGTCCGTCATATCAGAAATAATTGCGTTATATCCATAACAGCCACTCGGAAACCTTGATGTTACATGCGTGTCGGCTAATCAAAAACGTTGTAAGCAAATAACCGATTTGCTCAAATTTTGATGATGTGACAATAACATCCCACTCGTCAGGTTGTAGAATTAAATGATAACGTCAAACGAATTAAAAACTTTATTTCAATAAATAACAAACAAATTTGGGTAGCCCTATCCGATTGGTTTATCGGCTATTTGTTAAATATAGGAAAAGAATAGAATTTAAGAACGAGGAAACAATGAGCATTGTTTTATTCCTCCAATCATAGAAACCTTGCAAAATTGTGAAGGGTAGGAGACAAATTTGGTTTCAATCAGTTGAATATAAATACAGTAGCAAGATTATACACCCTCCGCTAAAGTGGGGTACTTACACAAAAAATGTAAAAAATCTTTAATTACAAAAGAGATAGTTTTTACTAAATTCACGTCCAACTGCTTGAGAAAATAGCGTCATAATTAAGCTATAAAAATGTAAATATATTCAAATACATATACTCTACAAAACACTTCAGGTACTCTCTTCAAAAATATAAAAATATTTTTCTGTATAAAGTGATGATTTTTATTCCAATTATTTTAACCATGGAACAAAAATAATCCTTTTTTTGTTTTGATTTCACTCTTCCCATAAGTTTATTCCAAATATATTACAATAACAAATAGCCGAACATCCGCCATCTTGGATCACGAGAGATCCTGAGTACAAGTAACTTGCACGGTTAGAGGGGGG